AACTCACGGACCACGAGATCGTGACCTGGCTGAAGTCGGACGCTTAACCGACTGCGCCACCCAGGCGCCCCGATTCCAGCAGTCTTTAAAAAGTATTGTTTTACCACCTAGCAATTCATAAGCTGCTATGATTATAGATCTGGGATTTCTTTCATATAACACTATAATTCATTCATTTAACAAATACTTACCGAGTATCTACTACTATGAAAAAACAAAGATTAAAATACGTATGAACTCTGCCCGAAAGATTTTTAAGAGTCCAGAAGAGTGAAACATATACAAATGGTAGGGAAAGGTAGAAAGCATAAGAAATGCACAATCTAGTTAAAATATGAAGATTGTTCAGAGGGGAAAGAGATTATTTGCAGCTTGGTGGGGGAAAAGGGGTGGATTTAAAGGACAGGCAGACTTTAGGGGTGTCTAACTGGCTCAGTTGGTAGAGCATCCAACTCTTGATCTCAGGGTTGTAAGTCTGAGCCCCACGTTGGGTGCAGAGATTAAAATCTGTTTAAATCTTCTTTAAAAATAAATTAAAAAATAAAAAAAACAAGATAATAAAATTAATTAAAATAAAGGACAGGTAGACTGGAGACAAAGAAAAGAGGCTTTCTGCTGGGAAAAAGAGGAGAAAAGCACAAAAGATGGAAAACCACAATGAAAACAACTTAATTTTAGAGAAATGGAAAAAATTACAAAATATTAAACAATTATGTAGAAGTTAGAGGTTCCCAACTCTGGCAACTAAAATATCCAGGGCAGATCAAATCGCCAATTAAAATATTTAATATTGTACCACTCACTCTATAATGCTCCACAAATACGTTTTTTTAAAAAATTTTTTAACATTTATTATTTTTGAAAGAGCATGAGCAGGAGAGGAGAGAGAGGGAGACAGAACCTGAAGCAGGCTCCAGGCTCTGAGCTGTCAGCATAGAGCCGGACACAGGGCTTGAACCCACAAACCACGAGATCATGACCTGAGCCAAAGTCGGACGCTTAACAGACTGAGCCACCCAGGAGCCCCTACAAACACCTTCAAAACTAGTGACCTATGACCCCCTTTATCTGTTGAATGAGATGGTAAACAAATTTTATGCACTGTGTAACTTGGAGTAAGCTATTAATTCTCTTCATAAATTACTTTTCCAATTTTGAGTATGCATACTCAAAGTTAGGCAAGAACAAGGGCTCTCACTTTCCTTTCAGTTTACATAAACAACATACACAAGTGATACTCAAGCTTCATTTGAAATCATGATGTAAAAATTATATTGTTCCATTCACTGGCAAGATCAGAGTTCTAGTCTCATACTGTACAACTTGCTTTAATGCTCTGTGCTTCAGTTTCCTAACTCGTAAAATGAGGGTGTTTAAGCTGGATGATCTGCAAAGGGCCTTCCAGCTTTAAAATTCTATACTCAATTGTACACCACCTTTTCTACAGAAGTCATTGTGACAAGGCCAACTATTAAAAAAAAAGAAAAAGAAAAAGAAAAAACAGTCTTCCTCTAAAAAAAAAAACATGCAATTGGGGCACCTGGGTGGCTCAGTCGGTTAAGCGTCCAACTTCGGTTCAGGTCATGATCTCACAGTTCATGAGTTCAAGTCCCGAGTCGGGCTCTGTGCTGACAGCTCAGAGCCTGGAGCCTGCTTCGGATTCTGTGTCTCCCTCTCTCTCTCTGCCCCTCCCCCCGCTCATGCTCTGTCTCTCTCTGTCTCTCAATAATAAATAAATGTTAAAAAAAAAAACATGCAATAAAAACTATACTAAGTGCCAGGCTCTATTTCCTATTTCATTTAATCCTCATTTACACCAATAAGAGCAGGCAGGTGGTTCCCTTCCGTTACGCAGGGTATCCTCCAACTCTTGCCTGGTCCAATAAAATTAGGGGTGGAAGGCAAGGATTCAAATCAAGGTCTGATGCCAAAGCAAGCTCTAATAAGCCATACTTGGTGCCTCAAACAAAAAATGTCAGACATAAAATAAATGAACAAAAGCTCAACAGGTAGGCTGTGACTTTGGTAATCTGGAGGGAGCATGGTCTTATAAACGGGGCAGCCTGGGGACCTTATACCCATGCGAGCAGACAAAGAAGGCAAAATCAGGGATGTGTGTGCACACTAATATTGTACAAAATCTCCTGATTTTCAAATGAAAAAAAAAAACAAAAAAAAAACCAGACTCACTAGCTTTCAACTTCTGCTTCAAACAGCTCTAATCCAGATCTATGAGGTTGATTTCAATAATATTACATAAATTTCCAAAATTCCCAAGAAAGTATTAAAATATGGATGGGCACCTGGGTGGCTCAGCTGGTTAAGCCTTGGACTCTTGATTTGGGCTCAGGTCATGATCTCACCGTTGGTGAGATCAAGCCCAACACCCAGCTCTGTACTGACACCTCACAGCCTGCGTGGGATTCTCTCTCCCTTCCTCTCTCTGCCCCTCCCCTGCTCATGCTCTTTCTCTCTCTCAAAATAAATAAACTTAAAAAAATAAAAAAATAAAAAATATGGGCATCAGCAAGAAAACCTAGGCTAGGAACTAACGCAAACCATGGTTGAATCCTGGCTCTACTACTACCAGCCGTGTGACCTTGGTCAAGTTACTTTACCTCTCTAAACCTCATTTCTTCATTTGTAAAGTGAAAATACTATCATCTATCTTGCAGCGTGGTTAGAGTGAAGGAGAATATGGACTACAAAGAGCTCAGCCTCAAGGTAAGCCTCTACCTCAAGGTAAGAGCTTGACAAATGAAAGCTATTATTATCCTTCAAGATCCCAGTAACACAGAACACAGGACCTGCGTTCACAGATATTCCAGTTATGTTCATGAATACTATCCAAAGTTTACCTTTAAAAGGTCATCCTTTGTCACTTTTCTGCAGATCTAAAATTACCCTCACATAGTTTATTTTAAAAGTGTCACACACACTCACTTCTAATAACACCAACCAAACTTCAAAGTAAGCTGATCCTAAACTTAACCAACTAGCAAATACTGTTTTCAGTGGCTAACAATTCTGTAAAGTGACGCTGCAAATCGTGTTACCAAGGGTTCAGACTTCTGAATGGGGAGAGTGTAAGGGAAAGCCGGGGGATGTGTCCCAAAGCGGTTTGAGCGCGAAACATCCCTGTACGTCCAATCGAGTATTTCCCAAATGGCATATAGTTGCAGGAACCCGAAAAACGAGGTCTGAACTAATAACACCTGGCAGAACGACCTTCCTCCAGTTGAAGGGACAGGAGCAGGTGGCTTTGTGCCCCCAAACTATCGTTTTATTCTTAGCCACTTGCTCTCGTCAACAGCTGGGTTTTAAACCTTCTTGCACTTTTCCCCCATGCCCCATTCCAGGCTGCGCCGGAGGAAGCAGGACTTCAGGTTCCTCTCGGTCCGGGGAAAGGAGTCAAGGGCCCACGGCCCCGAGGGGTGTACAAGACAAGTCGGGCCCCCTGTGCCCAGGATCGAGCCCTGACGGGGCGGCATCACACGAGGACCACCCTTCACGCCAGGCCTGCAGAGCTTCGGGGCGCGGCTGCTGTCAGCCGGGCCGAAACGCCGCGGTGGGGGCTGCGCTGGGGCGTAAGGGAATAACTCGGGGGTTTCAGGAGAGAAAGGGAAGCAAAGGGAGAGGCGGCATGTGGACCCCCGGCCCACGGTGGCGCGCGGGAAGTCACCTCCAGGCCCCCGAGTCCTCCGTCCCGTTCCTGACCGAACCCTTCCCAAGTCCCGGACCCGTCGCGCTCCTCTCACCGTCTCGGCTTCTGTGTGCTGGGGTCCGGCACTCTGACCCCCCATTACCCCGCGGAGGAAATTCATCTTGTCGCTCAGCCACCGGCTCTATCGGCACCTTCGGGAAAGAAAAGGTAACTTTCCCTGCCCTCGGCAGGGCCTGGCCCCCAAGCCCGCACTCTGCACTCTGTGGCCGCTGCCACCACCGCCTCCTACTCGGCGGCCGCTCCAGCCCCCGCTAAGCCCGGAAACAGCCGCCGCCACCAGTCAAGATGCGCATGCGCGGGGACGTGGCATTACGTGGCGGCTCCAAGGGCGAAGGCAAAGGGGAAAAGTAGGAAAAAGGAGGCCGGTAGCTCGGATCCGCCCAAGCCCCGCCCACTGCGCAGGTCGCACCTCCCTCGGCAGGGACACGCCTCCTACTCCCGCCCTTCTCGGGTCGCTACTGCTGGCCCCAACCACCCACGTGGTAGAAGCCTGGCCCTGCCGGCTGGAGAGGACACCAGTAGTGTACGTGTTTTGGCTTGCGGGTGTTTAGTTGTCGCCGAGGGGGACTTACTGCAAGCTATCGAATCTGGGGTCGTATTTTGTTGAGTCGAAAGTGAAATTTTACTTCGGCCGACGTGACAGGTAAGGGGTCCCGGCCCCTGGGAGGGTTCGTTTGGTTTTGTGTTTTAGCAGTACGAGCCGTGTGGCCTTCTGATCCTCGCCAATTGCATTTCTTTACTGGGCTTTGTTTAGTGGTAAAAGGGTAGTAGAGCCCCCTCATTCCACTGCCACTGGAGGGCGCATTTCTCAGTTCTTGCTCTTCAAACCTGTTCTAAAAGGAATTCCTAGATCTTAACACCAGGTACGCCGCTATTTTCAAGTAGTGTGAGGTGCAAACCGATTGAACCCTGCATTTAGCTTGTTAGACAAAATACATTGGTCTGTAGTGTCAGTTTGGCAGCTAGTAGCATAACATTTTGTTACTAACTCAGCGTCTGCATTTTCAGCAGTTTTTTTTTAAACATGAAAAATATCATTTTTTTCAAAATGGTATGCCCTGACCCTTTCGAAATGAAATTGCCCAGGTAGGTACACATGCTTCTGGAGTAGTCTTGTAAATTTCTTGAGGCTAAAAAGCGCAGGGTCTAGTTAGCTTACTGATTCATACACCCCTCTGCTTGGATGCCCCACAGGTCTCAAATTCAGCATTTAAAATTGAACTCATCATCTTCCCCAGCCTCCATTAAAGGGGAAAAAAAAAATCAGTATGCTTCTTTGTGCCCTGCCACGCGCAACAGTACCACTAGCCAAATAATTGCCTAAGCCAGAAGAAGGATGCTGGGTGGAATCTTATATTCTGGATTTTACCTCCACGAGTCCAATATTCAAGTCCTTTCATTTCTATTTATAGACTATTTCTCAGACAGGTCCTCTGCTCTTCATCTTCTCTGCCTCTGACATAGTTTATGTTCTCATCATTTCTCACCAAGATTATAGCAGTAGCTTCCTAACTAGTTTGTCTGCATTCAAGCCCTGGCTTCCATCCAGTCCAGTCTCCACTCCACCTTTGGGTGAGCCTAACAACAAGAAAACATCTGTCCATGTTGGTCCTCTTCTTAAGATCTGCCGGTGGTTGTCCATCTGCTCCATAATAAAATCCAGTCTCTGTAGCTTGGTATACAAGCCTGTTATGTTCTGGCTCCTATCTCTCCAGCTCCTGCCTCCCCCACATACTCTGGAATTATGCCTGGATATGCTCTTCCCCTCCCACCTCCTCATCAAGGAAACTCCTACTAGTTCCTTAAGACTTAACTCTGGCATCCTCTGAAAGCTTTCCCTGATACCCAGATACATATGTATATGCTAGCAGTTTGCAGTTGTTAATATGTGGAAAGCACTCAATAAATGCTTGTGAAGCCAAACTGTTAAGGGTGGGACTATGTTCTTCACTTTTGTATCTCCATAGGTTAGCACTGTCATAAAAGGTGATATTAATGGATAAATGAAGAAGACATTATGGATAAATGAATATTATGCTGAGGAGGAGGGTGAGGTAAAATCGTAGATAACACATATCGCAAAGGCTATGGTGAAACTTTTTTTTCCTAGTGCCAAGGTTTTAAGCTTGGGTGACTTGGAGAATGGTTGGGCTGATACTGCACAAAATGGGATGCATTAAGCATTGTCCTCCGCTTTAAAACTAGATGCTTGACATTTGCTTCAGACATTTTCCATGGGGGAATTTTGTTGCAGCCTAAAAAAAGTGACCAATAAATGCTCAGCATTGTTACTACCAAGTAATGTGTGCAAAGAACCTTACCCAGTCTCTAAGCCCCACCCCTCCCTGAACCACTCTTCGCCTTCTTCCTGTGCCTCCCTCCACTCCATCTTCTGGAGTGGGACTCATGGGTATCTACTATGTGTATTCTTTTGCAGTTAAAAAAAAACAAAAAACAAAAACAGTGCCTTGACATTTTAGCTAAGTTCTTTTAAGGCACCAACCTTGTCAAAGTGCCCTGGTTTGTTTTAAACTGGTGAGTATAGTAGGTCAGTAACCTCGTACTATGAGTTTTCCCTCCAGTTGACCTGTTTTCTTCCCTGACAGCATCCCCTGAGCAGAAAAGACTGAGGGCAGGAGGGATGGACAGTGGGTCCAGAGGACGTGAGGGTGGAGCCCTCATTCTCCCCCTTGACCTCGCAATCTTGCCTCTGTCCTGGTGTCTGGAAAAGGGTGAGCTGCTCACCACTTCCAGTCTCAAGAGGAGGCAGAGAGGATACAATGGCTAATTTGTCCCCCACTTGGGGTCGGAAGGGGGACCAGTGCCATCATGACTACGGAGCAGCCATGAAATGGACTCCTTATACAAGAGAAAGGGGGTTACATGTGAATGTACTTCCACTAATTTTATAGAGAAAAGCCAAGGACAATGTCTTGTTTCTATTTGTACCCTTTAATCACTTAGCATAATTCCTTTAATATGATAGATGTTCAAGAACTGTTTCTTAAGTAAAGGAAGCGAAAACATGAAAAATTGTGATGCCTGACTTATGCCATTATATTTCTGACTTTCATAAATCTAAACATTCGGGAGAAGTATGCTCCAAATCATTAAAATACACAAAATCAAAAATTTTAACTTGGGTGAAAGAAGTGATTTTTCTTTAAACCAAACCCGGGGGCGCCTCGGTGGCTCAGTCAGTTGAGTGTCCGATTTTGGCTCAGGTCATGATCTCTCAGTTCGTGGATTTGAGCCCGCATGGGGCTCGCTGTCAACGTAGAGACCGCTTCAGATCCTCTGATCCCCTCGCTGTCTGCCCCTCCCGTGCTCACACTCTCTCCCTCCAAAAAAAATAAATAAATAAATAAACATTTAAACCAAAGCTGATAAAAGTAACTAACAAATTAATTGGTTTGAAATTCATTTTTTAAATTTTTTTTTCAACGTTTATTTATTTTTGGGACAGAGAGAGACAGAGCATGAACGGGGGAGGGGCAGAGAGAGAGGGAGACCCAGAATCGGAAAAACAGGCTCCAGGCTCTGAGCCATCAGCCCAGAGCCTGACGCGGGGCTCGAACTCACAGACCGCGAGATCGTGACCTGGCTGAAGTCAGACGCCTAACCGACTGCGCCACCCAGGCGCCCCTGAAATTCATTTTTTAAATTGCTTCCTAATGATCCCCTACTTCAGTCTCTCTTCAGTGGCCCCCTTTCCCATCCTTCCTTTCTTTCTAGTGGCAAATTCAGCAAAACAATGAAATATAATTGCACAGGATTGTTTTCTGGTAGGAGTGATGGTGTTGTGGTGGAGTATTGTCTATACCTGATCAGAAGGATGAGATGCTAATTTGTAGTTGAAATATACCATAGACAGGTCTTTAAAAACTAATTACTGAAAAATCAGTGTCCAAAAATATTGTTTTGGGGTTTTTTTGTTTTTTTGTTTTTTTTTAAGTAAAACCTATGCACAACATGGGGCTCAAACTCAAGAGTCGCATGCTCTACCAACTAAGCCAGCCAGGTGCCCCCCAAAACATCGTTGATACAATTATGTAATACTATCCATTAATCAAACAACATCAGAAAAATAAATTACTAATGATGAAGCAGCAATTGAAATTCATAACCAATCAATATTAACAATATCAAACACATAGGTGGTGTTCCTTATTTGCGGGGCTCTGTGTATTCAAAGTGCTTTACATAAAATAATTTACTTAATCCTCACAACAACCTTATGAGGTGGGTAGTGTTAGTAGCCCTATTTTACAGATGGCAAAACAGGCAGAGAGTGATTTGCTTGATGTCATACAGCTAGGAAGTGACCTAAACCTGGGACATAAACCTGGGATCTGGCTCCAAAGCCTGTGCTCTTAGGTACTATGTTATACAGCCTCTTCTACACTCAAGGCAAGGATTCTGCACTAGGTAGAAATATGGCTTGCTAGTCCTTATATAATCTGGCCCTTCTGTTATCCCTCCCACTACATTCCCTCTACTCCAGCTACGCTGGCATCGTTTGTTTCTGACTTACTCTCCCCTCTCTCCTCTGTCCCCTTGTTCTTTTCTTGTATTGGGGATGATTGCTACTTCACCTATATAGAGGAATGGCTTACTCCTTCCTGTTTTTAATTAAGTCTGCTGAAAGGTTGGGGTGCTTGGGTGGCTCAGTCTGTTAAGCATCTGTTAAGCACCTGACTTTGGCTCTGGTCATAATCTTGTGGTTCACGAGTTCAAGCCCTGTGTCAGGCTCTGCAGGTGGTGGAGAGCCTGCTTGGGATTCTCTCTCTCTTGCTCTTCATAAATAAATAAATAAGTAAATACATACATACATACATAGTTACTAGGTCTCTCCTGGCTATTCTAAGTTGCAATTTCCCCGTAATCCTCCCTCTCCTCTTGTCAATCTGATACATTATTTCCCTATATATATTCTTTTCCGGTATTTCATCAGATCTAAGACACTGTTAAGTGTCCTTCAGAGAAGGAAGAAAAAAATGAAACCCTGCCAGTTGTCAGATGCATCTACCAAAAGATGCATCTCAATTTTAGGTTTCATAAAATGTGAAAAAAAATGTTCATTGTAGGACTAAGGGAATATAGTAAATATTTTACATCTTTATCTTGTTTATTGTCTATGTATCCTCATGACCAGCAGAATGTGAGCCCATAAAGGCAGTGATTTTAGTCCCTTTGTGAAATGTTCTATCCTCAGTG